GAAGCACAAAGAGATAAACAAAAACAAAAAAAGCTGAGCCTCACCAACCTGGAGAGTACTACCAGGCAGTATAATCTGTGTATTGGACTCCCAGAATAAAAGGAAGAATTTAAGATTTTGAAAAGTGAGTGAACTTTTTCTAAATTCTAAACAACGCATGAGTTCAAGATGATCAGGAGCCCTAACAGGGGAACACAATGAAGCCGCACAAGGTGCGTTAAAATCTGTTCACCTGGAATTATACAAACTGTCCTTAAAATTAAAATATCCTTCAAAGTAAAGTCTTTACATAAAATATCATCCAAAATAAACTTTTTTTTCAGAAAATCAAAAGCCAAGGAAACACCATTAGCTCACTTGTAGTACAAAGAATAATAAAGGAAGTTCTTCAGACAGAAAATTATACCACATGGAAACTTGATTCTACAACAAAGGAATAAAAAGAGTAGGATGATAAATATGAGAGCAAATATTTCTTCTTTTTGATTGTCTTAAAATTGCATTGGGCCTCTTCCTCTTTCAGTCTGCTCTCCTCCCTCCTTCCCTTCTTCTACTTCTTCCCCCACTCCAGGGGCCATGGCCAATCTTTTTTTTTTTTTCTTTCAGTTTTATTTTGTATTAGTAGCAGGTGTACAGCTTACTGGTTGGTCAATCATATAGTTTACATAGTGATCCCCTCAATATTTTCAGTATTCCATCTGGTACGATACATAGTTAGCACATCATTATTGACCACATTCCCTTTGCTTTACTCACATCCCCATGTCTCTCTTGCAGCTACCAATTTTTACTTCCTAATCCTGTCGCCTCTTTCACCCAGTCCTCCAACTGCCCTCCCCTCTGGCCACCACCAGTTTCCTCTCTGTGTCTATGAGTCTGTTTCTCTGAGTGAGTTTTCTTTATTCTTTAGATTCTACATATAAGTGAAATCATATAGTATTTGTCTTTCCCTGACTGACTTATTTCACTGAGCATACTACCCTCTAACTCCATCCATGCCATCACAAATGGTAAGATTTCATTATTTTTATGACCGAGTAATATTCCATTGTGTAAATGTACCAGGGCTTTTTTAAGCACTTGGATTGCTTCCTTGTCTTAGCTATTGTAAATTACACTGTAATGCACATGGGGATACATGTATTTTTTAAATTTGTGTATCAGGTTTCTTTGAATAATCCCTAGAAGTGGAATCTCTGGGTAATAAGGCAGTTTCTTTTTAATTTTTAAAATAGTATTAGCTTTTAAAAAAAAGTTTGTTTATTTATTTTTAGAGATAGAGGGAGGGAGGAAGAAAGAGAGGGAGAGAAACATCCTGTGAAAGAAAAACACGAGTGGTTGCCTCTCATCTGAGCCCCATCTGGGGACCAAACCCACAACCCAGGCATGTGCCTTGACTGGGAATCAAACTGGCAGCCCTTCACTTTGCAGGAAAAAAAGCCCTACCAGCTGAGCCATACTAGTCAGGGCCATTTTTAATTTTTTGAGGAAACTCCATATTATTTTCTATAGTGGCTGCCCCAATCTGCATTCCCACCAACAGTGAGTTTATGAGGGTTCCCTTTTCTCTACATCTTGGCCAACATTTGTCATTCATGGATTTGTTGATGATAGCCATTCTCACAGGTGGGAGGTGATATGTCATTGTAGTTTTTATTTACATTTCTCTGACAGTTAGTGATATTGAGCAACTTTTCCTATGTCTATTGGCCAGCTGTATGTCTTCCTTGGAGAAGTGTCTCTTCAGGTCTTCTGCCCACTTTGTAACAGGGCTGTTGTTTTTTGGGGGGGGCATTTGGAGTTAATTGTCTGAATTCTTATAATTTTGGATATTAACTCCTTATCAGATATATGATTGGTGGATATCTTCTCCCATTCAGTAGGCTATCTCTTCATCTTGTCAATGGTTTCCTTTGCTGTGCAAAAAACTTTTAGTTTTTTCCCTTTTATTTATTTATTTTTCTTTTGTTTCTCTTGTCTGAGAAGATACACCAGGAAAAAAAATGTTGCTAAGAGAAATGTCCAAGATTTTACTGCCTTTGTTTTCTCATAGAATTTTTATGGTTTTGAGTCTTACATTTAAGTCTTTAATCCATTTTGAATTTATATGATAAAAGAAGTTGATATAGTTTCACTTTTTTGCAAGTTTCTGTCTAGTTTTCCCAGCACCATTAATGAAATAGACTATCTTACTTTCTTTGTCAAATCTCAGTTGACCATATAGACATGAGTTTATTTCTGAACTCTCTATTCTGTTCATATTCTGTTCACTTGATTTACATACCTGTTTTTTATTCCAGCACCATGCTGTTTTGATTACTATGGCCTAGTAATATAGTTTGGTATCAGGTAGCATGATACCTCCAACTTCGTTCTTCTTTCTCAATATTGCTGATTATATCTGGATTTTGTGGTTTCATATAAATTTTTGAATTATTTGTTCTAATTCTGTGAAATGTGCCATTGGTATTTTAATAGCAATTGTATTGAATCTATAGATTGTTTTGGGCAGTACAGATGTTTTAATGATGTTCATTCTTCCTATCATAAACATAGTATATATTCCTACTTATTTGAATCTTCTTTAATTTCTTTCTTTAGTGACTTAATTTTTTGAGTACAGGTCTTTTACCTCCTTGGTTAAATTTATTCCTCAGTATTTTATATTTTTGGTTCATTTTTAAATGGGATTTTGTTTTTTAGTTTCCCTTTCTGATAATTATTGGTGTATAAAAATGCAACTAATATCTGGATATTTATTTTGTATCCATATTTTGTATCCATTTATTTTGAACTTTCCATCTATTTAATTGCTTATCTCCATTTTATTTAGTTGTTTTTTCTAAATTTTTGTTCAGTTTTTTAATTTTATCCATATTTCTTTGTCTCCTCACTTTGGCAGCCTCCTGGTGTTTGTTTCTATAGATTAGGTACAGCTGCAATGTGTCCCAGGCTTGGTAGAGTGGCCCAATGTAATAGATATCCTGTAAAGTCTAGTGGTACAGCCTCCCCTATTACCCAAGCTGGGTACTCAAGGTATGCCTACCATGGAGGATGTATACAGCCACCTGTCGTAGTCTAGCCTTGATTACTGTTGCATATCCAAGGTCAGGTACTGACTAAGTTCTGTTTGGGGTCACACAGCATAAGCCACAAAGTAATCTGCAGATGGCTGCTACTTGTGCTGGGATTGGAGGTGCCCAGGCAAGGCCAAGCTGTGAACTAAGACAAGCTGCTACTGATGCTGAGCCTGGGCAACTTAGTAAGAGGTATGGTGCTTGGTGAAGCCAGATGCTTCTTTTTTTTTTTTTTTTTTAAGAGAATTTGGGAAAATCTGAAGCACAGGCTAAGACAAGCCATTTGTATAGAAAAGCCACTGGAAACAGCTTAGATCAGCCCAAAAGTTGTGTGGGCAGGGCCTCAGTGAGTCACCAGGGCAGGACAAACAAGGTGTATAAATTCTCAGATACGGTATCTGCCTGCTGACTATGTGGATCTGTGGATATGGAATAATAGCCTCTGTTAGCAGCTCTATCTGGGAGAAAGCTGCCCACCCAGCTCTTGCCCTGATGCCATGGACATCAGTTCCTCCCCATATGTCTCTGATGCCTTTCATCTGCTGCCCTGGTCGGGGAGCTCAGAGGGAGTGAGTTCAAGTTTTCTGAATGTGGGCACTTTAAAGAGGAACTGACTGAGACTCCAGCAGTTGTCTTCCACAGCTTCAATCTCAGCTGGTTTTTACAGCAAGAAGTTATGGGAAATTATCCTCCTGGCACTGGAATCCTGGGCTGTGGAGCCTAGTGTGGGGTTAGCACCCCCTGCTCCTGAGATATCCCTCCTGATCGTTATCTGCCACAAATGGGTATGTGCTATTCTGTGTCTCTGTCCCTTACCAGTCTTGATGGGGTTTCTTCTTCAGTTCCGTAGTTGGTTTCTTCTTATTCCATGGTTGTAGGAGTTCCATTCAGCTCAGTTTCTGATGGTTCTGATTGATGGTTGTGCTATAGTTTACTTGTAACTTTGATGTGGTTGTGTGAGGAGGTGAGCTGTGTTTACCTATGCTGCCATCTTGACTAGAAATCCAGAGGACTTTAATGGAATTACTTAATTAAATGGATGATATAATACTGTGCATAGAGTCAAACTTATAGCTACAAACGAGTACAGTGAATTGTTTTACTACCTCCAGGTAAATATAAAAATATGTGTAGATTTATTTATGTGAAAGATTAGCTATATAGAAAACCTATGGAGATACCACTATAAAGTATAATAAAATAGATTATTAGAAGCAATTATGATGTTTCCATATAGCTTTAATGGAGCAGACCTGAGAAATGTTTGCACTGTAGAAGGCATACAAGTATGTACAATTCATGCAGATTTGAGTTTGTAGTGTAGAAAGACTTCATGAGCAGTCAAAACTGATTGATTTTTAAGAAGCTAGAGTCTAAATTGGACTCTAGCTTCATTTCTAAATTGGACTTATAGCTTCATGGACTCTAGTCTATGCCTGGTAGTCATCAACTTTTTTGATGACAACGTAAAAATCAGTTAAAGAAATTGTACAGAATGGCAATAATCTTATTAAAAGCATCTGAATAAAGGTTATTGTTTAAAACAAAATAATAAAAATGTATTGTGATTTATATTAGATGTGGAATAGAATATATAACATAAATAGCAAAAAAGATAGGGAGAATTGAAGTATACTGTTGAAGAGGTTTTAAAATGCATGTGAAGAGATATAGGGCCAAAAAGTTTATTTATTTTTTTCCATAAGATGGTCCTAGTAGCATGTAGTTGTCTTTCACTTCATTTGAAACAATTTTGTTAGATTGTATTGTGGCAGCTGTCATATCAACATGCACTTAAAAAAGAACTTATCAAAATTGGTGTATTTTTGTGTAGCCATTTAAATATTAAAGATGGAAGAAAATAAGCAACATTTTTGGCATATTATGCTTTATTATTTCAAGAAAGGTAAAAATGCAACTGCAGTGCAAAAAAATGGTTTATGCAGATTATGGAGAAGATGCTGTGACTGACTGAATGTGTCAAAAGTGATTTATGAAGTTTCATGCTGGAGATTTCTCATTGAATGTTGCTCCATGGTCAGGTAAACCAGTTGAAGTTGATAGCGGTGAAATTGAGACAATAATCGAGAACAATCAACATTATACTGTGCAAGAGATAGCCAACATACTCATCATATCCAAATCACATATTAAAAATCATTTGCACCAGCTTGGTTATATTAATTGTTTTGATGTATGGGTCCCATATAAGTGAAAAAAAAAAACCTTCTTGACCATATTTCCACGAGATATTCTACTTAAATGTAAGAAAACCTTCTGTTTGTGATGGGCAATGAAAAGTGGATACTTTACAATAATGTGGTATAGTAGAGATCATGGGGCAAGTGAAATGAACCATCACCAACCACACCAATCGCTGGTCTTCATCCAAAGAAGGTGATGTTGTGTATGTGGTAGGATTGAAAGGGAGTCCTCTATTATGAGATCCTTCTGGAAAATCAAACAATTAATTCCAACAAGTACATCTCCCAATGAGACCAACTGAAAGTAACGCTTGATGAAAAGCATCTGGAATTAGTTGACAGAAAACACAATCTTCTATCAGGATAACACAAGACCACATGTTTCTTTGATGACCAGGCAAAAGCTGTTAGAACTTGGCTGGGACATTCTGATTCATCCACTGTAATCACCAGACTTTATACTTCAGATTTCCATTTATTTTGGTCTTTACAAAATTTTCCTAATAGAAAATAATTTCAAGCACCTGGAACTATTTGCTCAAAAGATAAAAAGTTTTGGGAAGACTGAATTATGAAGTTACCTGAAAGATGTCACAAGGTAGTGAGACAAAACAGTGACTATGTTGTTCAATAAAGTTATTGGTGAAAATGAAAATTTGTCTTTTATTTTTACTCAAAAACCAAATAAACTGCAAGCAAGCAATCATTTGGTGTTTCCATTTAAGATGAAACTCATTTATCATCTTTTCCCTAAACCAATTCAAAACCACTTTCTGAATCATTATCAGGGGCTTTATCATTCAAGCCCACCCAAGAAAACAGAAACCAAGACAGAATACAGTGTCATATTAATTATATCAGCACATTCCAAGCAAAGACAGAATATCTTGGAGAGAGATTTCATAATCAAAAGAGATGAATTAAACTTGTTTTACGTCCTCAATGGAAACTGAAAAAATGTTTGACGAGTTACTGAGTTTTATAACAAAACTCAAGGAATTAAAAGTGTACTTACTGCTACAACAGTGGTAGTTGGTTAGTTATTTTTAAATTGGTGGTACAGATGTATTGGCATATTGGAATGAGCCTAATAGTCATAGGCATCAATCTGGATATTATACACATGGAATGCAGAACACTCCATAACCCACTTAAATATAGCGTAAGAGAATTTATAACCAAAATGACTGGATGAACAGGCAATTCTTAGATGTCATATGGATCTTGCCATCTCTAGTAACATCTTCAAATATAATAATTATGAAAAATAGCGGTCAACAAAGAAAATACTGAGATTCCTATTATCAGCATAAAGTATTGTCAAGTGCTTGCAAGTACATTAAAGTGTTCACAACAGAGAACCTACAAGGACAATTACTAAAACTAAATAAATAAATAGTAAAATAAACATATTACGCTTTTATTTACTTAGTATAATTCCTATGATGGTTAGTATATTTCAGTCACAATTGATGCTCCTTCTGTTTTAAAGTTTTTATAATCAATATATGGAAGGCATGCAATAATGAGTTCTTCTTTTGTACATCCTTTAAGACAACACTTTTCTGAGTATCCTCTGCGTATTCTTTGGAGATGATTCCCCCTAATCAATTTCCTTAGGTTTTTAATTTTGTTTGTGTTTTTCTTCTGATAGTCTATAATCTCATGAACATATGAATCAATATCTTGTGATGAGGTAAATTTTCTTGTCTTACTAGGTAGCAAGTTGGCCTTTTTATTCTGATACTCAGGAGGTGACTGCATCTCCACATTGTTTACTGATTCTTCCTGAGAGGCAGAAGTAGAGACTGTTGAGAGATGAGAAAAAGTTCTACTTTATTAAAATCTTCCTTTAGTTGAAAATTAAATCATAATACTGGAATACTAAAGTCAGTTAATTATTCAAAAGCAACATATATTTTTAACTAAAATGCTTGTAGGCAGTGTTTTCCTATAAAAAGATGTATAAACCTTTGCACATTTTTATGCAAAAAGCATTTTTGAGATGTTATTCACAGTCCATAAAGTTCAGCATTTTAAAGAATAAAATTCAGTGATTTTAAAAATATATTCATAATATTGTGCAACCAACATTACTATAATTCCAGAACATTACTATCACCCCCAAAAGAAACTCCATACCTATCAGTGCTCTCTCCCTTTTCCCTCATCCTTCAGTTCCTGAAAACCACTAATCTACTTTCTATTTCTATGGTTTCTCCTATTATGAAAATGAAATCATGCTGTATATGGCCTTTAATATTTTCAAAGTTTGTCTACATCGTAGCGTGTATACATACTGCATAATTTACTTATGTTTATTATCTACTCTTCTGCAAGCTTCATGAGGACAGGAGCCTTTACTGTCTCCTGAGTGAAACCATTCACTTTTATATCCCTAATACCAAGAAAAATACCTAGTACATAACAGGCACTCAAATTTTGTTACTATATATATAGAGGGGTCTTACAAGGTCCAGTTTTAAAAATGATATCTAAACAAACAAACAAACAAACAAACAAACAAAAACCAAGAGTAGATGAATGAAAACCAAAAATAGGGGAATGTGGCCAATCTAACTGGAACAGTTATTATAAACTAAGAAAAGCTGCTGATGAAACACTGATGGTTTCACCTAGCAGTGAGAGCTGGGGAGCACTATATTCAGCCAGAATTTAGAAATACGGTGTCAGCTTCATGAAGCCACATTTTTGGGTAGGTCTTGGAAATATGGACCATACCTTCAGGGTACACGATTTCAGATTATGTGTGAGTAGCTCTGGAAAAAAAAGCATTTTTTAGTATCAGTGTACCAAACTATATTTTCCTGTGTCTGATGTAAATAGATCATCAGAAGACTAAAATGCTAGATGATTTCACTTACATGTGGAATCTAGAAAACAAAATAAAGAAGCAAAAGAGAAGCAGACTCAGAACATTTGGACAGTTACCAAATGGGAGAGGGGTGGGGGGCTGGGTGAAAAAGGTGACGGGATTAACAAGTATCAATTGGTTGCTACAGAACAGTCATGGGGATATAAAGTACAGCATAGGGAATATAGTCCATAATATTGTAATAATTATATATTACAGATGGGTACTAGATTTATTGAGGTGATCACTTCATAAGTTATATAAATGTCTAATCATGGGGTTGTACTGCTAAAACTACTATTGTATATCAACTGTAATTTAAAAATAAAAAAATTGTTAATAATTGACTTGATCTAACACAGAAATGTGTCCTGCTGGTACAAGCTAAATAAAAGTTAACCAACTTTGCAGCTACATTTGTATGCAAAAGAAATGTCACAATTATATATTGTATATTGAAATTCTACATTGGAAACACATACCTATATCTCTCTACAACTTTTAATTATTCCCTGGAAACTAACAAATCGGATTAAATGTTATCGTCCCTTATAGATTAAACATTTAAAAAAATTTAATGCAAATTCATATTGACAACCTAAATCCATTATTTCCTTCTTCCATATAGTTTAAAACTATGGCTTTATTGACACAGGATATTTCCACTTCAGCAAAATGTCCTTATCATAGTTCCCACAGTAACATGTTGATGGGGAAGACATTCCTGAAATATTGTCAGATGTACTTATATGTCCCATAAATCTTGTTTGATTGCAGCTCTCTCTCATTGCATTAATTACACATTCCCCCAGGGAAGTATGAATGGTATCTGAAACAAAGGGGTCATTAATCAGCTCTGAGTTTTAAAGTTGACTTTTTTTTTAAATTAAGGAAATAGGCTTCATAGCAGGCTTTTCAAGAAAAGGTTATAAGCATGTCCTAGGGTGAAGATTAAAAACGACAACAATATTCTTCCTAAAGACTGCTTAAATTCAGTATATATTAGGCACATACAATACACTAGGCCCTCTGCTAGGCGTTTCAGATAAAAACATGCATAAGACAGTCGCTATACTATGGTATGGCATATAGGAGGCTGTAGCTACGGGAACAAAGCTTGTGTAGTCAGTTGCACCAGCCTAGTGCTTAGAAGGACCCTGAATTTCGTCTAATGCTCTATTGTTACAGTTTTGAAGTTCTCAATAATTTTTTCTTTGAACTAAGTGAAGTCTGAAAGCACGATGGACCATGTGTGAGCAGAAGAGATTCGCACAAGAAAGAGAAAACAAACTTTATATTTCAGGAACCTTAATGGTGTTTTCTGCTTTCTGAACAAGGGGCCCTGCATTTTCACCTTGCACTGGGTTGAGCCAGTTGTGTCGCCAGTCCTGATGATGGTCAAGTCGAACCGTCATCCGTGAAGGAAGTAGCTAGAAAAGGGTCAATGAGGACTTAACGGGGAAAATGATACTTAAGTTAGCCTTTGAAGGACAAGATGGAGTTTGCCAGGTTGCAAGGGGGGACTGAAGAAAGGGAAAGCTGGGGAAGAAGCAGCAGTCTTACATAAATGTGTAGACTTACATATATACATGTATTTCCTCTAAGTAAAAAAAAGTTTCGTAGTCGTTTTGTGTATACATAATATATTGGTTTATAATTTTTTAAGAAATTTTATTTATCTTTAGAAAGGAAGGAAAGGAGAGAGGGAGAGAAATATCAACGTACAGTTGCCTCTCATGCGTCCGCCCCACTGGGAACTGGCCTGCAACCCAGGCATGTGCCCTGACTGGGAATCCAACCGCGATCCTTTGGTTCAGTACGCAAGCCCGCACTCAATCCACTGAGCTACACCAGCCAGGAAGGTTTATCATTTAAAAAAATTTTTTTTCCTGTGTACTACGCACAAATTCCGTTTCTTGGGGAGGCTCACCATCTAGCAGAGCAGATTCCGGGGTAGGAAATATACAAAGATAAACACACCTCTGGTTTAGATTTTTACCTGCGCTTGTGCTTCTCTCCCAGGCCAGGGAAGTGGTTTGGGAGCTTTTCAACCGGTCAGGGGTGAGGCTTTCCACTTTCTTCGAAGCCTGGGGAAACAGCTCTGTTTTTAAAGGGGTATTCTCCTCGAAGTGGCTCCAGTCAGCATCCCCACAGAGTTTTACTATTCTTTCCAGCAGGTGCCTGCCGCACAGCTTCTTGGCTCTGCTTCTGTAGCTTTGCTCTTGGGAGAACCGAAGCGGAAGGAGCCAGAGCCACAGCAGACCCCAGCAGAGGAGCCGCGGCATCCCTGAGCCCCCAAGCCGGGTCTGCCGCGCTCGCTAACGGACGCCCGCGCCCGCGCCCGCGCCCCCCGCGCCCGCGCCCGCGCCCGCGCCCGCGCCCGCGCCCGCGCCCGCGCCCGCGCCCGCGCCCGCGCCCGCGCCCGCGCAGGTCCTCTGAGCGCGTGCGGACGTCGTGAGGGCTCCCAGACGTGGTGGTGCGAGGTGGTGCCCTGGCCTGGGCTCCCGCGCTCGCTCGGGCTCTCAGGCGGTCGTGAGTAGCGTGATTGCTTTCATTTTTCTTGCCTTCGTCACTTGGGAGATTGAGCAAATGAAACGTGGGGCCCTAGTTAACGGAAAAAACTTTAAAAATACTGCTCCAAGAGTACCCCTTTTTGCTTGGTTAATAATAATGGGGTGTCACTTCCTCATAGAAACCTCTCATTTTCTTCTTGGTGTGTATTTCACCAAGGCTTTTCAAGAAAAGGTTATAAGCATGTCCTAGGGTGAAGATTAAAAACAACGGGTTTGTTCACATTCGTGTGCTCGCTCGGTAACTTCTTCCCCTGAAGCCTCAAGCTGCACGAAGGCACTGCCTGTATCTGCTCTTGCTTCCACTTGTACCTCAGGGCTTGACGCGTAGTTGGCAGTGAAATATGTTGAAACATGGGTGTGCTAGAGTATGTATGTGTGTGTTTTAAAGTCAGATGCAAAGTTCAGAAAATTTCGACCAGTTCCGCAGGGAGAAAGGGGCCTAGGGTACCTGCGGGCGATATTTTGGTTGTTTCCGTTACAGATTATAAAGGATTGCCTATTGCCAGATTGTAACTAGCTTGTGACAGGGACCCGTAGAGGAGTTGCCGTCTAAGAGTAACACAATTTTGCTAAATTAGGAGGGAAGGGACAGGGAAGTGTAGCGCAGTCCTTATAGGTCGCTTGGTCACTATAAATTAAATTTTATTAGTGTGTTAGCTGTGAAGGAGGTACAACGAGCCACAAGGGGGCAGCCAGGGGCTCTCAAGAGAATAGATTTAAGGCTGCCACAGCCTGAGAGACGTGCCTGCAGTTACCAATGACAATCTCCATTTACTTATTTTTTTCTTCCCCCTGACTCTGTGTCTTTTTCTCCATTGTCTCTTCTCGCAGCTTTGCCTTGCTTCCCAGTGGCATCCACAAGTGCTGTTAAATTAACTGGCTGTCAGATTTTTTTTCAAGGTTGATGTGATTTTATTAGCACAATTTCATTGCTTTCCTTGAAAAACAACTAATGTCCAAACTACAGTGGGCCATGGGTGCTAGTCAGAACTTTATCAGTGAAGCCCTGTGAGAAAGGAAAATATTTGTTATACTGAGATTTTTAAAAAACCCTCTTAAGCAATATGTGTTAGAAACTAGCACATTTGATTTATACTCTGATTCTCTGCACTTTCTATACCCTTGCCCTTTGTATTTCTTCATACCATTCATTACAAACTGACATACTATATATTTTACTTCTCTGTATGTTTACTATTTGTTTACTCCTACCAGAATATGAGCTCCATGTGAGCAGTGATTTTATTATGTTTATCTCGATATCACCTGTCTTGAGCAGTGCCTGGCATGTAGTTGGTTCTCAGTAATAATTTAATGTTAATAATAGTAATTAACAATATTAATAGCAATAAATAAAATATTAATATCAATAATCATATAATACTTGATGAGTGAATGAAAGAATAAATGAAAAAGCTTCCTAAGAATTGGCTACATGATCCTTTACAGCTTATTTTATACTTGTTATAATTATAGTTCTTTGTTGCACTATGGTGAATTTTGAAAATATCATGTAATCATCTCTTCTGTATTTGTGAAAGCTCATTAAGGAATGGAACAATATTTAAACCATTTATTTCTAAATACATTTTATTGATTATGCCATTACAGTTGGCCCATTTTCTCCCTTTTATTCTCCTCTGCAGTGCACACCACCTCCCACCTGAATTCCCCCTCTTTAGTTCATGTCCATGGGTTGTACATGTAAGTTCTTTAGCTTCTACATTTCCCATACTATTCTTACCCTCGCCCTGTCTATTTTTCTATCCACCAATTACACTATTTATTCTCTGTATTTTTCCCCTTTCTCCCCCTCCCAGTCCTCCACTGATAACCCTCCATGTGATCTCCATTTCTGTGATTGTTTCTGCTCTAGTCATTTGCTTAGTTTGTTTTAGTTTTTGTTTTAGGTTTAGTTGTTGATAGTTGTGAGTTTGTTTTCATTTTACTGTTCATAGTTGTGATCTTCTTTTTCCTAAATAAGTCCCTTTAACATTTCATATAAGAAGGGCTTGGTGATGATGAATTCCTTTAACTCGACCTTATCTGAGAAGCACTTTACCTGCCCTTCCATTCTAAATGATAGCTTGGCTGGATAGAGTAACCTTGGATGTAGGTCCTTGCCTTTCATGACTTTGAATACTTCTTTCCAGTCCCTTCTTGCCTGTCAGGTTTCTTTTGAGAAATCAGCTGACAGTCTGATGCAAACTCGTTTGTAGGTAACTGTCTCCTTTTCTCTTGCTGCTTTTAAGACTCTCTCCTTATCTTAATCTTGGGTAACTTAATTATGATGTGTCTTGATGTGTTCCTCTTTGGGTCCAACTTCTTTGGGACTCTCTGAGCTTCCTGGACTTGCATGTCTATTCACTTTGCTGGATTGGAGAAGTTTTCCTTCATTATTTTTTCAAATAAGTTTTCACTTTCTTGCTCTTCCTCTTCTCCTCTGGCACCACTGATTTCTATGTTGGAACACTTAAAGTTGTCTCAGAGGTTACTAAGCCTCTCCCCATTTTTTTTGAATCCATGTTTCTTCATTCTGTTCCAGTTGGATGTTTATTTCTTCCTTCTGGTCCAAATTGTTGATCTGAGTCACAGCTTTGTTCCCTTCACTGTTGGTTCCCTGTAGATTTTTCTTTATTTCAATTTGTATAGCCTTCACTTCCTTTATTTTTTGGCCATACTCAATAATTTCTGTGAGCACCCTGATTATCAATGTTTTGAACTCTGCATCCAGTAGGTTGGCTACCTCCTTGTTGCTTAGTTCTTTTTCTAAAGTTTTGATCTGTTCTTTCATTTGGGCCATATTTCTTTGTTTTGGCACACCTGTTACATTGTAAGGGGTGAATACTTAGATATTTTCCAGAGCAGGGCAAACTACATTGCTGTGTTGTGGTGCTGTATGTGGGAGAGGGGTCTGAGAGGGAACAGTGCCATCCACTCAGCTCTTGTCTAGCTTTCAGTCACTTCCTCCACTTCCCACAAGTGAATTGTGCACTTTCAGGTGCTGTCTTGGTGCTGATTCCTAGGTGAGTGGGCTTGTGTACATTCTAGGATCCTGTGGGTCCCTCCAGTGGACTCTTCTGTGAGATTGGGAGTTTCTCCCACCGCCACAACCCCCACAGATTTTTACAGCCAGAGGTTTTGAGGCTTTCTTTTTCTGTGCTGGAACCCTGGGCTGCATGGTGTGTCTCGCTTCCCAGTTGTTCCTCCAGGTTTATCTGCACGCAAATGTGAGACTGCCTAGTCAGCCAGCCACTGCCTTGCTCTGTGTCCTTTCTGCCCTGGCTGCCCATCTCTGTCCCTCCTACCAGTCTGGTTGAATGTTTCTTCTTTAACTCCTTGGTTGTCAGACTTCCATACAGTTCAATTTTTTGTATGTTGTGGTTGCTTTTTGTTTTTAAATTGTTTGTTATCCTTTTGGTTGTGCGAGGAGGTGAAGTGTATCTACCTATGCCTCCATCTTGCCTGGAAACCTCTACTATCCCATGGTTTAATCCTTAAAATTTTTAGTTTAGCAATGTTAATTGTGTATAGAATTAATTATAATAACTAAATTATTGCTTGCTTATAATACAGGTAATATTTCCTTTAATTAGTTTTTTGCTTTTTATTCAATTATTTGTCTGTCTTCCCCACTATACTGGTGTTTTTGTAACACTTTATTCTTGATATTTACAAGTATGTATTCTTGAATACATACAAATAATATATATTCAAGATATATTTTTTATTTTCTTTAAAAATTTTTAAATTACTTTTTACACTCAATATTTGTTTATATTATTTCAGGTATACAATATAGTGGTTAGACAATCATATACTTAACAAAGTGATTCTCCAAATATTTGAAGTACCTGCCTGGCAACATACTTATTACAATATTATTGACTATACTCCCTATGATGTACTTTACATCCTGATGACTGTTTTGTGACTACCAATTTGTATTTCTTAATTCCATCACCTTTTTTTAAAAATTTTTTTATTGATTATGCAGTTACAGTTGTTCTATTCCCCCCTTCATTCCCCTCCACCCTATCCCCCCATCCCCACCATTACCCCCCCTTTAGTTTATGACCATGTGTCTCAAGTCCTTTAGATTCTATATTTCCCATTCTATTCTTGCCCCCCCTTCTATTTTCTATCTACTGTCTATGCTACTTATTTTCTGTACCTTCTCTCCCCTTCTCCTCCTCCCACTCCCCTGTTGCTAACCCTCCTTGAGATCTTCATTTCTATGTTTCCACTCCTGATCTAGCTGTCCTTTTAGCTTGCTTTCGTTTTAGGTGTGGTTGTTAATAACTGTCAGTTTGTTGTCCTTTCACTGTTCATGTTTCTTTATCTTCTTTTTCTTAGGTAAGTCCCTTTAACATTTTATATAATAAGGGCTTGGTGATGATGAACTCCTTGAATTTGATCTTATCTGAGAAGCACTTTATCTGTCCTTCCATTCTAAATGAAAGTTTTGCTGGATAGAGCAATCTTGGTTGTAGGTCTTTAGATTTCATGACTTGGAATACCTCTTTCCAGCCCCTTCTTGCCTGTAAGGTGTCTTTTGAGAAATCCGCTGACAGTCTGATGGGGACTCCTTTGTAGGTGACTGTCCCCTTATCTCTTGCTGCTTCTAGGATTCTCTCCTTCATTTTAATCTTGGCTAATGTAATTATGATGTGCCTTGGTGTGTTCCTTCTTGGGTCCAACTTCTTTGGGACTCTCTGGGCTTCCTGGATTTCCTGGAAGTCTATTTCCTT